TAGAGTCAGGATTACACTAGAGGATTCAAAAGTAAAGTATTAAGTAAGTCTAAGAAGTTAGGCCAAGTCCAAGTTAAATGATTAAAATGAACAAATCACTAAAGCTAAAAATAATTACAAAAATGTATTTCAAGAACTTAAATTTCAGTAATTTATCACTAGAAAAATGCAAATGAGAAATAATATCAGACAATTCATCCAATAAATGACTCGTAATGAATTATAGATACGTACACAAAATTTTGAAATTATTATATACTAATAAATGAAAGATGAAAATACTTTGATGCTTTTTTTTTTTTAGGAAATAAAACAAGCATAACTATGGTACACTCTTAAAAATGCATACAGTATGCCTTTCCAAAACTACACTATAATGATTGGTAACAAAATCACAATAGTTAAATAATTTTTTCATATTGGTTTGTTATTTAACCATAATAATTTGTAACTAAAACTTCTTTTATGGGGCATTCCTTCGTACCATAATTATAATAATTTGTATTAATACTATAAAAACTCATAATGATTCTACAAAATATACAAAATATTATACCCATATCTTAGCAATCTCACCAACTTAGCAGGCCAGAACCCCCTAAAACTCCACTAAAATAGAGGCTTTGTATGAATAATATTTTACCCCATTCTCGTTTGACTCACTTTAACCGTCTCATATGATTTTAGATTAATTTCTAACACTAACACCATTAAATTTACTAGCAAAAAACACTTGTACAAACTTGTACAATATGTAACTGATATAAATGTATTTTTTTGGTACAACAATGCTAAATGGCCTGAAAATTTATAACTCGAATGGCTCGAAACACTTAAAACGACGTCATTTTAACACATGCGACTCATTCGGGCCACACAAATTTGGGTCACCAAAGCATTTTTCTTTTTGGTATCATTGTCTCACACCTTAGGTGAATATTTGATAATTTTTTTGAGAAATTATTCGATAATTCTATCATTGCTCTTTCTCGTATATGAACGTGACACACCAAAGACTATAGACAAGAGTTTCTACCCCCAAGAAGACGGATTGATGGCTTGACTTGGACATAAATGTATTTTTATTTACATATTTTAATAATTTTTAATTATATACATTATATAATAATAATAATTATTTGATAATTCTATCATTGCTCTTTCTCTAATATGAACCTGACACACCAAAGACTAGAGACAAAAGTTTCTACCCCAAGAAGACGGAATGATATTTTATTGCCAAATGATATTTATATGTATATATGTGTACCCATTTATTAGATATATTTCGGCAATGTAATGGGACCAAGTTTTTTTTGGTGTCCAAATGTCCAAAATGGAGTGGGCTAAACCTGGTGCATGTACAGCAGCATTGAATGAACCTTTGTGTCTTAATTCAGATCAACCCTGCCAAGTCATTTCAAGTCAATGTTCAATTGTAGTACGAAAATTTTAAAAATAATTTTACATATATTAAAGAGATATATTTTTATAAAAACTGCAAATATAGTTTAAAAAAAAAATTGTTTGAGGGTCACAAAATCAGTAGTTTAAATGGCTCGAAACCGTCAAAACGACGTTATTTTGGCTTTTTTTGCGCCTAAAACAACGTCGTTTTGACAGTTTCGAGCCATTCGAGCCACTGAATTTCGGACCACCAACCAATGCTATTTAAAAAAATCAAATTTTGATCATTAATTTGGTTAAACAATTGTTTATTGTGTTCAGTTAGCTTAATCCACTAACTGTAAAGCTACTCTTCTAATTAAGCAATAAATTTGTGTTATTTTGACCCCTTTTTTTTTATGACCTGTTTGGTAACGTTTTTCTTTTTTGTTTTTACTGAATTTTTTTAATATTTTAAGCAATTTTTTTTTTTTTTACTTTTTAGACATACCTAACATAAATATATTTAAAAAGTAAAAATTTTGTGAAAAAAACCTTTTAAAAATTCACTAAATACCAAAAATACAGAAAAAAAAAAATACGAGAATTCAGTACATTTTTTGTATTTTTATGTATTTATTAATTTTTTAAAATATTTTTTCACAAATTTTTTACTTTTTAGATAGATCTAAGTAAGGTACATCTAAAAAAGTAAAAAAAAAATGTTTAAAATTTTAAAAATATTCACTAAAAACAAAAAAATACGAAAATCGAAAAACTCAATTTTAAAAAAACTTAATCCAAAAAACTCGAACCAAACACACTGAATAATAACTAGGCGCTCGTGACTTTAGACTTTTCAAAACAATCTAGTCTTCTTAGAGCTCGTTTACGATGTGAGTTAGTTTTTTACTTTTTTGATTTTTTGACTATTTTAATCTGAGGTTAAAAAGTCTCATTTGGGATAGGCTTTTTGACTTTTTTGACTTTTGTGGAAAAAAAATAATAATTATGAGTTAGATGTGACATTTTGTCCTATTTACCCAAAATAGCTTATTTTGTTTTATATGGCTATTTTAGCCCCAATGTTCTTCCCAAACGAGCTCTTATACAGTTTATAAAACTTTAGGTAGCGTTTGGTAGAGTCTTAAAATTATAATTTGAGTTGTATTTTGAGTTTGTGAATTTTGGAATTATGATTTGAATGTGAAAAATTTGTTTGATTATGAGTTTTGAATTGAGTTTGAAATTTTTGATGTGACATATAATATTTGATTCAAAAATTTACAACTTATAACCAAACGCACAATCTAAAATTCTATTCAAAACTCATAAAAAAAATTTAAAAAAAAATTCGAAAATATTTTTTATTTAAAATATAAAAATAACAGATGCAAAAAAAAAAAACAAACATTATTCCGGTCAAAAGAAAAAAAAGAAGAAAGATCGAACGTTGTTTTGGTCAAACGGCCGGACGACCGACCAGACGTTTGGAGGAACATCCGGGACGATAACTGAGTAGATGTGTTTGCAAAAGTAAGTGTAGAATCAAATTTTGAAAACTGTAATCAAACACCATACTTAAATCAATGAGTGAAATTGAAGTTAAAAAGCTCTACCAAATGGAGCTAATCTTTCAACACCAGCATCAAATTACATTCCACACTCAAGCTATGGGCACAACCTCTAGTGCTCTTGTGATGTTATTTAGGCCCCGTTTGTTTTTCGAGATAGAATTGAGGAAATTCATAGTGAGGGAATTGATAGTGAGGGGATTAAGTAAAATTGTGTTTGTTTTGATGATAGTTGTTAGTATAGGGATTATTAAATTATTTTTATATAAAATAACAAAACAAATAAAAAAATATAAAAACATTAAACATTAATGTTCAAAAAAAAAAAAAATGCCCAACATGTAAAAAATTAAAAAATAAACAAAACATTTCCAAAAAAAATAAAACAAATAAAACAATGGTTTTTACTTAACAAAAAACACAAAAAATTAAACGTTAATTTTCAAAAAAAAATGCCCGACATGTAAAAAATAAATAAAATAAATAAAAAATTTCTAGTCCTTGGGACTATTTTTCTAATACTATATCTACCTCCTCCATCTCAATTCCCCTTCCAAGCCCTATTCTAATACCAAGGGATTAGAAGTCTCCTCCCCTTCTCTCAAAACAAACACCCCATATAGTGGGTCCCACTTCACTATCATTTCCAATCCCCTCCCTATAACCCCAAACAAACGGGGCCTTGCTCTTTTTTATAATTAGGGACAGAGTCAGGATTACACTATTAGAGGAGTCAAAAGTAAAGTATTAAATAATCTAAGAAGTTAGATCAAGTCTAATTTAGACAACTAAAATCAACAAATTACTATTAAAAGAAGGCTAAAAATAATTACAAAATTATATTTCAAGAACTTAAATTTGAATAATTTACCACTAGAAAAATGCAAATGAGAAATAATATCACACAATTCATCCAGTAAATGAATGGTAATGAATTATAGAGGGTTGTTTTGGCAACTAGAAAAAAAAGTCAAAAGCCAGCTTTTAACCCATTTTGGGTCACATCACCTCTCACGAGAAACAGTAAAAAAAGTCACAAAAAAAAAAAACTAAAAAACCAACTTTTAATCATCTTCTTAAAATACCCCAGATACGCACCCAAAATTTTGAAATTATCATATACTAATAAATGAAAGATGAAAATACTTTGATGGTTTTTTTTTTTTTTAAGGAAAATAAAACGAGCATAACTATGGTACACTCTTATAAATGCATATAGTATGCCTTTTCAAAACTACACTACAATGATGGATAACAAAATCACAATAGTTAAGTAACTTTTTCCCCATAATAGTATGTAATATTTTAATATTCATAACATTATCATATTAGTTTGTTATATAACCATAATAATTTGTAACTAAAACTTCTTTTACGGGGCATCCATTCATAACATAATTATAATAATTTGTATTAACACTAAAAAAAACTCATAACGATTCTACAAAATATACAAAATATTATACCCATATCTTAACAATCCCACCAACTTAACAAGCCAAAACACCCTAAAACCCCACTAAAATAGAGGCCCTTTATATATAATATTTTATCTCATTCTCGTTTGACTCACTCTATCTCTTTTAAAAATAACTACATACTTCTCACATGATTTTAGATTAATTTGTTAACACTAACACCATTGAATTTACTTGCAAAAAAATACTTGTACAAACTTGTACAATATGTAACAGATATAAATGTAGAATTTTTTTGGTATCACTATCTCACACTTTATCTGAGTGTTTGATAATTTTTTTGATAAATTATTTGATAATTCTATCATTGCTCTTTGTAAAATATGAACCCGACACACCAAAGACTAGAGACAAGAGTTTCTACCCCCAAGAAGACGGAATGGCCTTGTTTCTACCCCCAAGAAGAAGACAGAATGGCAGTCCACTGATTGACTTGACTTGAACATTAATGTATTCTTATTTACAAATTTTAATAATTTTTAATTATATACATTATATTATAATAATAATTATTATAACTAGGTGCTCATGACTTGAAACTTTTCAAAACAATCAAGTCTTCTTATACAGTTCATAAAACTCTAATCTTTCAACACTAGCATCAAAATTACATTCCACACTCAGAAGCTATGGGCACAACCTCTAGTGCTCTTGTAATGTTATTTGCTCTTTTTTTCATTGAAAGACTTGAGTTTATTTGTAGTAGTACAAATTCAAATGTGAGTTGCATAGTGAGTGAGCGAGAAGCTCTTATGAAAATCAAAGGAAATCTCACAGATGAAGCAAACCGTTTATCCTCGTGGGTTGGAAAGGACTGTTGCACGTGGAAGGGAGTTGGTTGTAGCAGCAAAACAGGCCATGTTGTGAAGCTTGATCTGCATAATCCAATTTTCGGAGGGAACAAATTGGGTGGTCAGGTAAGTCCTTCCTTACTCGATTTGAATCATTTGCATTACCTAGACTTGAGCGGGAACAATATACAAATTTCTAATTCCTTAGGATCTTTGAAAAGCTTGAGATACCTTGACCTCTCTTGGTCAATTTTCGATGCAACGATTCCTCATAATCTGGGAAATCTTTCAAGGTTACAGTATCTCAACCTTAGCAATAATGGTTTAAGTAGTCCAATTCCTGTTACACTTGGAAGGTTGACCTCTCTCACAGTCCTTGACCTTTCAAGAAACAATTTCAATGATTCAATGTTGTATTCTTTGTGTAACCTGAGCAGTCTTGTCCATATAGATCTTAGTGTTAATAGCCTTGGAGGTGCAATCCCCCATTGCCTTGGGAATCTTGCTTCTCTTTCCATCCTCAGGTTGAGTCAAAATGATCTTCAAGGTCCAATTCCAAGTGAGATGGGAAATATGACACAACTTACAGAGCTTGACCTCTCTTGGAATGTGTTTGAAGGTGAAATACCCAACTCCATGAGGAACCTCTGCAACTTGTGTGTATTGGATTTGTCCTATAACATGCGTTTGAGTGGTGGTCTGCCAAACCATTTGGGAGAGTTTAAGAATCTAGAGAGGCTTATTATTCAAGGGAATTCATTTTACGGTCCGCTGCCATCATCACTCGGAACACTATCATATTTGAGAGTGTTAGATACTGGAAACAATCAATTGAATGGAAGCATTCCAATTAGTCTTGGACAACTTTCAAAACTAGAATATCTAGATTTGTCAAAAAATGCATTTGTTGGCACCGTATTTGAACTTCACTTTGCCAAACTCAAGAGTTTAAATGAATTGTACTTGCATTCAAATTCATTAGTTTTGAATGTGACCTCCCAATGGGTTCCTCCCTTTCAACTCCAAGTCATAGGATTGTCATCCATCAAAGTTGGACCCCAATTTCCTCAATGGCTCAAAACACAAAAAAGTGTTACAGCATTACACATGTCTAATGCAAGCATCTCAGTTGTCATTCCTAATTGGTTTGAGAGTATTTATTGTGGCATTATAGACTTGGATCTTTCCAACAATCAGATCAAAGGAAAGGTGCCAATATTTCAAAAATGTAAATATAGATCTCTCCAACTGAGTTCTAACAGATTTGAGGGCCCACTAACACCACTTCCTTCGGATGTTTATTTGTTAGATCTCTCCAACAACTTGCTTTCAGGACCTATTACTGTGAGCGATGATAGTGCGACGATGAGCTTTACATTTCTTGGTCTCTCAAATAACCATTTGACTGGTGTCATTCCACTATCTTTGTGCAAGGCAAAGAGTATACAATTTATTGATATCTCAAACAATCAATTATCAGGAAAAATTCCTCCTTGCTTGGGGCAGTTGGAACTGTTGTCAGTGCTAGATTTGACGAATAATAGTCTATATGGTGAAATTCCAAGTTCATTGGGTTCCCTAAAATTTCTCAATTCCTTGCACTTGCGTTACAATAAGTTTTATGGGAAGCTTCCTTTGTCCTTACAAAATTTGACAGGTCTTTCCACCATTGATCTAGGTGAAAATGTGTTCACTGATAATATCCCTCCATGGATTGGATATAACCTAACTGGTCTTAAATTTCTCAATCTTCAATCAAATAATTTCTATGGTGATATTCCTCCACAACTCTGTCATCTCCAAAATTTGCAATTGTTGAACTTGGCACAAAATAACATAACGGGAAATATCCCTCATTGTTTTGGTGACTTCACTGCCATGTTTAGTAACTTCACTGCCATGGTTGTACTAGATCATGCGTACATTCTCAATCCAAGTGGCAATTTTGTTTTTGACAAAAGTTATGAAGAGAACATTTTGGATTCAATGAAAGGAAGAGAACTGAAATACACCAAGACCCTCAAATTTCTGGTCTCCATGGACCTTTCGAACAATGGCATTGTTGGAGAGATTCCAGAAGAGTTAATGGATCTTTCTGGGTTGCTCAACTTGAATTTATCTGGAAATCATCTAAAAGGAAGGATCCCTAATAATATTGGCAATTTGACACAATTGGAATCTCTTGATTTGTCTCGAAACAAACTTTCTGGCCCCATTCCTCCAAGTCTATCTAGTTTAAGCTACCTAGGTCATTTGAACATGTCATTCAATAATTTATCGGGGCGAATACCAACGGGAAATCAACTTCAAACTCTCGACGATCCTTCCATTTATATAGGCAACGATGGCCTTTGTGGTGCACCACTAAACAGCTGCTTCGATGATAAATCATCTCATAGTAATCACAAACATGCTGATCAGAGTAGAGTTGCAGATGAAACTGATTTTTTGTGGTTCTACACTGGCATTGGACCTGGTTTCTTGGTTGGGTTCTTGGGGGTCTGTGGCACTTTGAATTTCAAGAAGTCTTGGAGGTACGCATACTTCCAGTTCATCGAAAACAACTACAATTGGATATCAGTAACCATAGCAATCAAGTTCGCTCAGCTAAAGAGGAAATTCAACAAAGGAAAATTGGGAAGATGAATTTATCTCCCAATTGGTTCGTCTCTCTCTCTCTCTCTCTCATCATGTACATACACTACCTCTGTATCTTGTGATAATTTCGACGTGTGCATCAAATTTCCATCTTCGTACCCCATGATTTTTCTTGCATGAATCTTTTGAATTTTTTTCATTTCCTCACCATCATTAACATAACAATGCTAATCATGTTAATGATTTTTGGAATATCATCACGACTTGAAGAATAACCATTCATATTTTGAAGTGGAGGTAGTGATATTTCCAGATTATCATCAAAATATGTCTTACATTCAAGGTCATATAGTAAAAAGTATACAGATTAATTTCCACCTAATTTCTTTACCAAAAGCGCCAAGATTCTTTGTCACATTGAAACAAATGCAAGTTTGTTGTTTTGTAGTTCAAATAGTGCAAATACATTTCTCAAATAATTTTTCAAAAGTCATTTGTTGCATTATTTCAGAGAAACCATGTTAACATCCACTAATATGCTTGTTATATGCTTTGCTGTCATTGAAGGGTCTTATATTCAGCTGGAGAAAGGACCCTCAGAGGAAGCAGCATTGAGATCATGTTATGGATGTTCTTGAGTTGTTGGAAAGAAATAAGTTCGAATAATTCTATAGTTCTACTATATATGTTGATGGGGTTTGATGATTGTGTCTTTTGTAAAATATTCTAAAGTCTTCCCTTAAATAAATGACTTGTGAACTATCATATTGTCCAGAATATGTTATAGATTGTGTTCTGCATATATATGTATTCTCCTTTTATTGGTGAATTCTATGATTTTTACCAATTGAGGCCATGGATTCTAGTTTTAATTTTGAGAATTGAACAAAATGCTCCAACAATGATATACATATAGTAATGGTATCACCAACCAAAACCTTATCAAAACAGAGAGCTATCGTGCCACAGTCAAATTCACATATAGGTTCAACTATTCATGTTTTTCTTCACATTGTTGTAATCTTTACTTGTGTCAAAGCTTTTAATGATTTAGGAGAAGTACATAACATCAGTAACATCAGTAATATACAAGTATGCTTCTCAACTTGCACTGCTTTTTGTTTAATTTGTTAATGATTAATCCTTGCCAAAGATTTTGTGTGTGTGTGTGTGTGTGTTTGTTTTATTCTCTATCTATTTGTGTCTATTGAGTTTTAACCAATTTACAAGTGTTTGAGGTTGGCTTTTTTAATAACTTTTTGTTGATTTTTTTTCATCTTTAATGATTTTTTTTAAAAAAAAATTAAAAAGTGTTACACTCTTGAATTCTACTCGACTAGAGAAATTAGAAAAGATCAAAAAATTTGAAAATTTTGAAAAAAAAAGTCTGAAAAGGATTATAAAAAAAAAAAATCAAAACAATTGACTTTTTATTTTTTTGTAACTTTTTATTTTTTTGTCATTAGGATTTTTTTTTTTTTAGATTTGTCTACACAAGACAAACCTAAAAACTTTAAAAAAAAATAGACATAATTTAGAAAGAAAAAAATCACTAAAAATTAAAAAATATATATATATATATATATCTCTTTTTTGGGTGAATGCCACACACTAACAAAGGCCAAAGCAATAAAACTGTCAATGTAACCAAAATATCATAAGTTTCTATACATGCAGATGCAAATGCCGATGATTAGCTCCTAACCACACATTGACTTCAGCAGTCCAGATAATGACCCAAAAGGGATCTAAATCAATTATCACAATTTCAATAGGCATCAGCCAATCCAACACACCATACCAACAATCAGCATAGAGAAAAGGAAGATGCTACGATGTTCACCCTTAAAATAATGCATATGGTACACTTTTGTGTTATTTTAGTCTCTATATTTTCAAATCACTCGATTTTAACCCTGAATTTTATATTTTGTCTCTTTTTGTCCCAATTGGAAATGGCAGTTAAGTTTTTTGACGAAAATTGGCCATGTGCATGTCACATGCCTTATTTTAAAGGATAAAATTGTAAATTTAATATTTTGTACATTATTCAAAGTGAGTTAAATCAATCAAATAAACACACATGTGGATCTCAATTGTAGAAAGAGATGGTTTGTGTTTAACAGATGGTTTGACGGGAAAAAAGAAGGGGGGTTCGTTCGACGGTGGGGTTCAGTTGGGGTAAGGCCGTGAGATTCGACTAGTGTCTGTTGTTGAGAAGGTCACAACCAGAGACCACTACTTTTGCTGCTGCTGCAATTGCTACAAATTGTGAGATTTCATCTTTCTCATCATCACCTCCTCATCTCTATTACATGCTATTTACCATTTTGGGCAATAGAACTGATCCAAGTTTTTCCTCCTTAAAATAAATAAAAACTTAACCAAGTTCTTTATGGAATTGTTTGTAAATTTTCTTATATTACTTCGAAAAAAGTCTTTTTTGTCAATGGTGTTTTGCTAAGATATTATGGAATTGATTCAATGTGAAAATTTTAGAAACCACTGATGTAATTTGTCCAATAAAAAAAAGACAAGTTTCGTTTGTCACTAGTAATTTTAAAAGTTTGAGATAAATATTATGATCTAGTTAGGGGGGAGGTGGAACGAAACTAATACAAGTAATACATAAATATAAAAATAATTAGGGAAATTTGGCCATAAACTCCTCCTAACTTCCTTTTTTTGTTAAAAGGACAAAAAAAAATTTAGTACTTTCAAAACCCCTCATAATTATAAAGTTCTATATGAAGGACAAATTTTGTTATTTAAATATTTTATTTGACTATTATGCCCTCTCTTTCTTCTCTTTTTTTTGCAGCTCTCCCTCTCTCTTTCTCTCTCTCTCTAATTCAATGGTTGTTCATCGTCTTCACCATCTTCATTGTCTATCGGCATTGCTCATCCTCACCATCGGCTAACAACAACCATTTTTACCGTCAAACCACCACCATCTCAAATTTGATACCTATGAACTCATATTTGAGATCAATAATTTCAAATCTGAGATAAAAAAATAATAATAATAAATAAATATAAATAAATAAATAAATAAAGAAAACTAGGATTTAACAGAAAAATGAGAAATCGAGATATTGCAATGAAAAATCAAGAGTTTTGCTTGTTTGTTTGTTGATAGATCTAAAAGTAAAATTTAACTCTAGTTCATTCATTTAGTATGTACTCTGTTTTTGTAATAATAAAATTTGACTCTGGTTAACAACATGTTGATCTGCTTAATGACAGTAAAATTTTACTTTGATTTAGAGCTAAATTTTACTCTTTTTTTGAATTTATTACAGAGTAAATTTTTACTTTGAATCAGAGTAAAGTTTACTATGATTCAAAGTAAAATTTTACTCTAAAACAATCTGCAATGATGGCTTTACAAAAGAGTGTTGTGTCATGAACCAAAGTAAAATTTTACAGTTACAAGAATAGGGCATCATGAGAAGAAGAAAGAGAGATAGAGAGACAAAGTTCGAAAACATAGGATCAAAAGGAGGAGGAGGAGGAGAAGAAGAAGAAAAAGAAGAAGAAGAGAGAGAACATAAATGGTGAGTGACACACATACACACACACCTATAGAGAGAGAGAGAGAGCATGAACCATTAGAACCAGAGAGAGAGAGGGGGGTAAAGGATCTCAGATTTGAGGCTTGCGAACTGTCGCAAATCGTCATTTTCCTGCAACGACGACTATGAATGATCTCAGATCTAAAGTTATAGATACAACAAGTGATGGTGGTGATGAAGATGGTAGAGAAAGAGTTCCATAGTGAGCAGCGGTGACGCCAATGGAGAGCGGTGATGGCGCCAATGAAGAGTAACAGTGACAAGAGTGAGACAGAGATAAGAGAGATTGAGATGAGAGAGAGAGAGAGAGAGAGAGAGAGAGAGAGAGAGTGATTGCAATTTGATACACACACACACACACATATATATATATATATATGAGGGTATTATATTAAAAGAAATAAGTTTTAAAATACTAAGGCTTTTTGAAAGGATCTATATAATTATTGTCCTTTTGAAAGATAAATTAGACACTGAAGGGTCTATCACTAAATCTCCCTAATAATTAATGATAGAACATACATTTCAATATAAAGATATAATAATTTATTTTTTTTTACCTATATGATTAATGAAGGCCAATAATGCTACATTTTTTTTTTTTAAAATGATATTTAGTTTACCATCTCATGGTCAATGGTTAAGTTGGTTCCATCACTAGTGACGACTTCAAGGCAATTGTGACAAATGAGATGGTAAAAAATGTGATCATGTAAATGAATGATTTTGCCTAGTGGCAAAAAGGATAGATCCTAAGAATGAATTGTAAATCCAAACATATCGAGTTTGATTCTCACTAGTATTTCTTAGACTTAGGCCAAGTTTGGCATGTCCCCAAAAAGTCAAAAAGTCAAAAAGTTACTCAAAAAGTTAAAAAGTTATCACTATTCACAAAAAAAAAAATTAAAAATTAATTTTCTACACAAAATTACAACTTAGAATCTGACATGTTCAGCTCTATTGATGCGTTTGTGTGTGAAAATTGCACAGTTTGAGTGCAATTTTTACACACTTCTATTCGGCCCGTGGGGGCCCATCACAGGTCTCGTTTTGATAATTTGAACCTTCAATGTGTAGAACTCGTCGAGTACTACATGTCTGTAAAAAATCACATTAATCGAATATCGATAACTACATGATCAAATCAGTTTTGTATAAAAAAAATGGATGGAGTTATAATTAACGATTGAGAAAAAACATATCTAATCAGATAGCTATCGATATTCGATCAACATGATTTTTTATAGGTATATAGTACTCGATGAGTTCTACACATTAACGGTTCAGACTATTAAAATAGGACCCGTGATGGCCCCCACGGGCCGAACAAAACCGTCCAGTGTAATGCTCATTTAGTAGCCAATCATTACTTAGCATCAATTCCACTCCCAGAAAGTACGGCTGCACAACTCTCAATTTTAATCTTCCCTTACACACTTATTTATACAATTTTTTAATACACATTTTTTCATAAAAAATCAAAAAGTTAACCCAAATATCTATATTTTTTCCCTCAATTTTTTAGTTCGAGAAGACAAAAAAGTGCACTTATTTAGAACACCTCAAATAACCCCTTAATCGATACATGTGATTTATAGACAATTTTAAGAATTTGAGATTTACTTACTTTGAAAAGCGGGTCCAATTTAGCTTTCATGATTGCATTGGTTAAGTTGCTTCCATCACCCCCATTGTGTAATTATCCTTTTTGTTCTTATTAGTCATAGAGATTCGACAGTAAGAGAGAAATAAGTGGGGGAAACTGTACATATAGAACCATAAGTAAGTAAATTTCCAATTAAAAAATCTTCCCCCACAAGCAAAAGTTGAAAACCACCATCTAAGAACATTTTCAACCCCTATGGGTTGAGAAGTTGTTATTTTAATTAATTATTTATTTTATTTTTTTTATAAAAAGTAGAAAAAATGATGTGATAATTTATAATGACTTTTTAACTATATAGTTTAATGCCAAACAAGCTTTATTTTTTTAATTTTTTTTGATAACTTGCCAAGCAAGGTTTATCAAATTTAAATTTGAATAAAAATCTTGCAAAACACCTCTACACTCATTAACTCAAATTTATATGAAATTGAGTTTTACCCATTTTTTAACCCAAATTAAAGGAGACTTAAATATATACACGAATTTTTTCAAGATCATTCTGTAATTTTCAAATTTATCACTTTGCCATTACTAAAGTTTTACTCAAATTTACATTCAAACCTAAGGTTATCCATTGGAATGTCATAT